GGTTAACTTTTTGACTTTTTATAGAAAAATGTGTAATAAAAAATTGTAAAAATTGATTTGTAGGAGAAAATTAGAATTGGGAGTTGTGCAGCCGTAATTGTTGACTTTTGGTGAATAGTGATAACTTTTTAACTTTTTGAGTAACTTTTTGACTTTTTGGCTTTTTGGGGTGTTCCCAAACTTGGCCTAAATGATGCAGCCTACCAATTAACGAACGAGAACGTCATTTTTAAGAGATTATTTTGTGATTTTGGAATATTACTTTACACTATTTATTATTTTATATATATATTTTTTATTTTTTAAATTGTTAATAAAAAGTACTTAATCCCATATTTTCAATTAATAATATTAAATTGAAGGATCACATTAATTTGTTGAGAATCACCAATAGTGATAACTTTTTAACTTTTTGAGTAACTTTTTGACTTTTTGGCTTTTTGGGGTGTTCCCAAACTTGGCCTAAATGATGCAGCCTACCAATTAACGAACGAGAACGTCATTTTTAAGAGATTATTTAGTGATTTTGGAATATTACTTTACACTATTTATTATTTTATATATGTATTTTTTATTTTTTAAATTGTTAATAAAAAGTACTTAATCCCATATTTTCAATTAATAATATTAAATTGAAGGATCACATTAATTTGTTGAGAATCACCAAATAGTTGTTCATCATGGTCTGGAATCAATGAGCAAATGTGGTGGGGATGGAAGCTCCAAGACCTAAGGAAACCAATGAACTCGTGAGACCACGGATATAGCACATGCCCACCTGTCATTTGCCACACCCCTTGTGTCCGTTGCTTGCGTTCTCACCCTGCCTTCCCTACTCCTATTAACTTTTACACATGCATCCAGATTTCCGGCCTAATTAAATTAACTTTTTGGTTAAATTAAACCGTTAATTTTTGCAATTTTAAGTGGTGTTTTGTTTTTAAAAAAATTGAAAATAAATCAAGTATAAAATAGTGGGACCAAAATCAACCAATATGCCAATTTTGCCCCTCGTTATTCTTTTAACAATTTTTATAAACAAATATAGAAAATAAAATAATTGAAAATTTTTTTTGTGACTATTTGCCCTCTCTTGCCCCACTTCCTCTCTCTGATTCTCTCTATTTCTGCAGCACTAAAGCATAGCCTTCCAGCGCTACTCCATTGGCACCCCTTCTTTCGACATGCTTTAATCTCCATTGTGGCTCTCCGATGTTACTTCGATGATACTCTCGAGCTCGGGTCTGTGCTATACATTTCTAGGCCCGATCGAGCTCGAGGCTTGACCAAAAGCTTGACTCGAGGCCCAACGATCACCTACAACAACAAAATAAAAAAAAATGGTGAAAAAGCAAAGTCAAGTCAAGCCAAGCCAAACCCAAGCCCAAGCTCTGGCCCATGCCCATGCCCGAAAATGACCTGAATACCCATGGGTTTGGGCCTAGATTTTTGGAAACTAGGTCGGCCCAATCCGATTTTGGCTGGAACTTGAGCAGGCATGGATTGGGCTGACTTGAGCCTGAGACTAGTTGGATCGAATTTACATCCCTACTCCTAGCATCCCCTAGCATGAACCTGCCGCATCATGACTTCAATTGTAGCTCACTACGATGTTGTCACCCACCATTGTAAACCCTAAACATCTTTCCTCACTCTCTTTTCTTTTCTTCTCCTATCTCTACCTCTCTCAAATTCAAATGAGTAATGCTAGAGACCCCAAATATTCTACCAAAAGTTTTACCAAGTGTCTCACATGGGTGTAAGACCTACACAATGTGGGTCCCATGTGGGTCCCACACCCATGTGAGACATTTGGTAAAACTTTTGGTAGAATTTTTGGGACCTCTAGCATTTTTTAATTCAAATTCCTAACTACTCTCAACTCTTAGCCTTATCACTCAGCCATCTTCGAACCATCATTCAAAAATACCTCAAAACCCTTAATTGGCGGTTATGATTCGATGAGGAGGTGCTAGCATCAACCGGCAATATCTGATGAGAAGAAGACAACAATGAAGTTCATGAACTGAAGAGGATGCAAGCTCAGCGACAGTCGTAATTGCAAGGAAATGAGGCAGCGTAGACGGTCGCAATCCAAAGTTGCTATTCACATAATCATAAATATACAATAAAATTAATAACCATAAGAAATGTATTAGACAAATACAAAGGATGTGTAACCAATGAAAGTAATTTGATTGGCCATAACTCTTATTGCTCACTAGGAGGTCAATGATTCGAATATTCCCACCTACATATGAAATCAAATACAAAAGATACGCCGATAGACAAAATTAAACATCTAACTAACTATGTAATAAGATGCAAAATTAAAAGGAAATGTCCCCACTTTTGTTTCACAAGCCTAATTCACTAGGAAAATGATTTATTTACAATTTTTCAATAAAAAAAATTCATATTAAAAATTATGTAATTAATTTTTTTAAAAAACAATCAAAATTCATTTAATCAATATTTATTTTTGAAACAGTGGGACTCAAAATACATTGAACCCGCAAGTTGATATGACATTAGAAAAAGGATAATTTATATTGATTTTTCTTGAAATTTAAAAAAAGGGACTACATTGAGCTCACAAGTTTATCACAGTTATATTAGATTGCCTTAAGATTTTAATTCATATAATATTCACTCTCTTTTTATCTATAATTCATTAGTCATATGGATCTAAAAATAATTTTAGAAATATATAATTTGTCTTATTTATTCTTATTTCTTTATACCATCTGTATTAATTTAATTGCTTTAGTTTTATTAACAGATACAATTCAATTATACCTAATTTATATAATTTATTGTATTTTTCTTTGGATTAATTACATCAAGACTTTCTCAATTATTTGTGAATAACTCACTCCTCTCATCTATGAATCTGTAAATTTTATCATCTTTAACCATAAAAATGTATTACTCTCACTTCTTTTTAAACCACCTTTAAAATAATTTGGGTGACTGTTGTGCATTATGTGCAACCGCCATTGTTGTGCGGCTTTTGGGTCATAATGTGCAACAACCCCTATTGTGCGATTTTTGGGCGTATTTCGAGACTCATTCAGATGATCAAAATCATTTACTTTTTAAAATATATTGAGTAAAATATACCTGTAAAAAAATCTAATTTGACTGAATATCAGGATTACTTTTATCAAATCACTTTTGTATATAAAAAATGAATGGTGAGTATAATTTGAAGTATAAAATGTGGATGATTTTGATGTTTCATTTGGAAAGTGGGTTGATTTTTTTCGTCTGGGGTTAGAAAGTTTGTTTGGATTGGATTTTTTTTGTTTTTTTTTTACTTTTGTAATAGAAAAATTGATTTATGATTTTGATGTGATATTTTATCTCATTAACTTTTTAACTTATTTTGTCTTTTTTAGACAAATTAGTTCCCAATCTCAAAAAAAAATAAAATAAAAATAAAATAATGCCAAACGGGGGCTGAATCATTTAAATGGGTCCAAAAGGCAAGACAATAGTCACCTGAAACTTTCTCTAAAAGAGATGTTTTTTTTTATGATTTTTATAATTAAGGAAATGTATTATTTCAACATTTTTAGACCACTTTTTATAAGATGGTGTATTTGTACGAATTGTCTTTTTTTTAAATTTATTTATATAATTGATGGGGTTAATATTACATATGTAATTTGAGTGGGCTTAATCTAAACAATTTGATTTTTTTTTCAGTATTTGGACAATATATTTTGAATTTGTTACCCGCTTGAATACAAATCTATAAGTTCAAATTAAATTTAAGCCGAACTTGAGTAAACACATTAAAACTCAATATACACAAATTATTAGTTGTTAGATAGTGTTAAAATAATTTGCATCACTACATCATATTCATTATATATTATGTATACATATAGCACAATACAAAATCTTACTATTTTTTATTCTTGCTAAAATATGATAAAAACTACTATTGTGGCCCTCAATTCTCATATCTTTTCTCTCCATATTTCTTCCTTACAGTAATTATTATTTTTGATGTTATTAATGATTTTACAACTAAAAAAAAAAAAGAAAGAAGAAAGAGAAATTAATAGGGTAATTTTAACAAATTAATCAACTTAAAAAAAATAATGTTAAGGATAATTCAGACAATTTGAACATAACTCAGTTGGAGTTAAACAAACAATCTGGGGTTGAAAATTGAGTTTGAGCAAGTCTAGGCAGCTCTTAGTAGAATTTGGGCTGAGTTTGAAAATTCTCTCAACACCCAACCAAATCAGTCCGAGTTACATTCCTAACCAATATAAACAGATTCATAAATAAAAAATGAAATAGTATTCGCTAATAGTTAAGGGATATAAGTGTAATTAATCATTTTTTAAAAAAATTTCAAAACTAATTAATGTATTGGTTTAGGAATAGACTATTTAAATAATTTTTTAAATTTTTGATTAAAACATGAAGTGAAAAAAATAATATATTGGGATGAAGTAAAAAAAAAAAAATATTGGGAAAAAGTGAAAAAATAGAGAAAAAATAAATTTTTTATTTTTAAATTTTTTTTATAAATTTTTAACTTTCTATTTTTTTTAATGATTTTTTAATTTTTTTACTTTTTAATAATTATTGTAAATTTTATCCTAGGATTTTCCTCATCGACTCGCACTCAACAACTTTGCTCGTGCCTGGTCCGCTCTTTCGTTTAGATTCATATAGAGAGAGAAAACCGAGAACAAAGAGGGAGCCAGAGAAAAAAAAAAGAAAGAAAAAAAGAAGCAAAGAAAAAGTGTGCTTTTGCTACGTCCATTGTCTCTGAAAAGCAAGAGACACATAGAGAACTGTATATATAGAGAGAGAGAGAGAGAGAGAGAGAGAGGACAGAGGAGAGAGGAGAGAGGAGAGAGAGAGAGGAGAGAGAGAGATGAAATCTGGCGAATTCGGAGTCATTTAGGCGTTGTGAAGTCTGAATCTACATCCACAATCTGATCCTCTCTCTTTTTCGAGCATTTTGATATATAATGGCGACACCATTGACGGGTCTTCAGCACATAGCATTAATGGCGGGTCCTGTGAACCAGGTCGATCAGTCCAACAAGTCCTGTGCCAATAACTCGTCTCTTAGGTCGCCAATTTTGATTTTTTTGTTCTTCCACAAAGCCATTCGGACGGAGCTCGATGGCCTCCACCGCGCCGCCATGGCCTTTGTCTCCGATCAGGAGGGTGACTTGAATCCTCTGTTGGAACAGTATCACTTCTTTCGGTCAATCTATAAGCACCACTGCAATGCAGAGGACGAGGTTTGTTTACAAATTAATTGAGAAAATTTTGAAATTTGGACATACCTAGGTCTTGATTTTGAGTTTTATGGTGTTAAAAGGTTAATTGTTCCTTCTATTACTTTAATGCTGTGTTTAGTTTGTGTTTGGTTGGTGGATTGGAGTAGGGATTTGGCAAGAGAAATGAAATAGGCAGGTAATATGTGAATAAAATATATTTATATTTCATCTAATTTCACACTTCTTTTCTCTTTTTTTTTTTCCAAATCACTCTCCAGATCTCCTAACCATAACCAAAAACACAGTGTAAAGCAATTGAATTTGGCTTCTGTTTATTTGTTTAATCTGATTATTCTGAGGAATTTAAGGGATTTATGTCGTGTTTGGTTGAGGGATTTTGGAATGGATTTGGAAATAGAAAGAGAAAAGGGAGGTGGAATAAGAATAAAATATTCTTACATTTCACTTACATTTTCCCTTTCTCTTCCCAAATCTCCCAACCAAACACAGCGTTAGGGTTTTGTAAGTCATTGTATTCGTGTTTTTTTATTTCATCTTCTATGCTTGATTATAGAACCTTATATGTGCTGTAAATTAATTTTCTGTGGAGAAGTTTGCATTGGCATGGTGGTGATTGTTAAATTAAAGTGTAATTCTAATTGTGAGCAGGGTTCAAGAGTTGAATCTTTCTTGCATGTGAGTGTCTCATGTTCTTCCTAATGTGTTTGGCGACATTTCTGGGTTTACTTTGATAGCTTGGTAGGGGAAGAGTAACATAGTATTGGACAGAATGTTGACAAGTTAGTTCGTGTGCATTGTTGTGTGTGCATAAAATAGTCAGAATGCACCTACGTGTGGTTTAATCTGCAAATTTTGATCACTTTAGTGCTTGCCATGTGTTTCGCCTTTCTTGAAAAAAATGTAGATACTTAAATAGCTGGAGTTGGTGTCTTGTTCCTCAGTTGCTGAGGTTAACACAATGATCAGCGCATGAATTGCTAGGATGCATATAATAAAATTGGAATGTGTCCGTGAATTTTATTAATTAGGACAATGCAATCTGTTTAATCTGCACCAGCCATCTTGTCACATTGATGATTGTCATATGTAACATTTGGAGTTGGTGTCACATCCTTGTTTCCTGACATTAACACTTGATGTTTGACTTGGTAGTTGCTTGTATTCTTGCAACTTCATGTTGTATTTATTTATTTTTACTTTATGTACTTCCATTGCTTGATAAGGGGATAAAGTTAATTACTTTCAGTTTTATTTGCTAATTATTTATTTTTCAGTTCTCATTTATGCAGTTTGGTATAGAGTTGAACTACTATGTTGCAGTGATACATATCACTGATCATTGACTAGGGTTTCAAGAATGAAGCTGTTCATAAGCAGTTAGGGCGTAGCTTGCTAAGTTGTTTGTTCAAGCTAGTTTTCACAATAAACAAATCAGTGGCAATCTTTATTTTGAAGCTCCTTTGTCATGCAAGCAGCACATGAGCAAAGCCCAAGCTAAGCTTAGTCTAATTTGTGAACCTCAAAACCTGTGAACTAGTGAATTTGAATTTGGTTCTACTAGATGTGGAGCCGAGGGGGTTGGTAGGGACCCAATTGTTCAGGCATTAAAGCATCCGGATCTCCCTATTTATTAGTAATCATGACTCTTTTCTTCCTCCCTCTTTTATTTTGGACTTCTTAGATTAGGAAACTCTTAAATATTCATTCAACTGGTCAATATGTTCAAAAATTTGTCAAGATCAAATAATCTCTAAAGCTTGACTAGTTTTTTTAAGTAAGAATTTCATCATTACTTTCTCCTACTGTTTAGATAAAACCATGGACTTTAATACCCTTATGAAGTCCCCTTATAACGACTAAAAGTGATTATAGGTTAATGGACACAGACACGAACAACACAATGTATGATGATTTCCAAAAAAATTTAAGTCATGGGTACATGACCCTTTATGTGTTTGTGCTTCTAAGGTGGTGTGGTAATACCACCAGACCAAATATAATGAGTAGTGGAGTCTTGAGCTAAGCCTTGGCTAAACCTTGAAAATTTTAATTGTTTTTAATCTACAACAAGAAAATTTTATTGAATATGAAAGAGGAGTATAAATTACAAATACATTCCCTGCGGTTTACTGAAAATAAATTTGACTCCCTTAGGTTCTGGAAATTGCATCTCACGTCTTGAGGTTTAAATCACATAACAAATACTCCCTTTCGTTAGTCAACAGATTGGTCAACTAACTGGTTTTGGTGATGTAATCAGTTTTATTTTCTAAAAAACATATTTTACCGTCAATATACTGCATCTCTTTCTTTGTGAAACCCAAGACCAATGGCACAATCCCTCTCTCCCTATTATTCCTTTCCCTTCCTTCATCTTCATCGTTACAACTCTTAACTAACTTAGATGGCATATTTGAAATTCTCTCTCTTTGAGAAATTATCTCTATATTTTTCTTTGATTTTGGGGTTCAATGGTAGATCTGAGGTGGGGGAGGGTGGAGAAAGGGTTGGTGTGGCAAAAGAGGGTATGGGAGTGGTGGATGTGGCGAGTGAGGGTAGGGACATGGTGTTGTTTAGCAAGGAAGGGGTTGGGGGTGGTGAGGGAGGGTAGAAGAGGGTGTGGGATTGGATGACTGGGTGTGAGGTTGGTGGGTGACTTTGGTGCCTAGTTCGATGGCATTGGCGTGGCGATGGTGTTCTATGACCAATTGGTGTAGCCTTGTTCTCCACCACAATCACTATAGCCTTGATTTTTCTATTACTTATTAATTGTTATCATCTTAGATTGCTTTTGAAATAATTACGGGTATTCAAAGACTTATGATATCCCAGTGTTTTAAAAGGCGTGCTTAGGCAAATGCCTAAGCGCGAGGCGCAACCTTGCACTTCAAATAGGTTGAGGCGAGACGCAATATGTAAGGCGTAACAAATGCGCTGAGGGGAGGGCTTTTTTTCGAGGCGCGAGGCGCTCGCTTCATGGGTTTTACTTATTTTTCTACTCCAACTGTTGATTAAATGCTTTTTTTTGTGGGCATACCCACAAGGAATCAAAATTCTTCAATATAAAATGACCAAATGTGGTCAAAAGAGAGCAGAAAGTGATTAAAAAAAATCCTAGGTTGAGAAGATTAAAAAAAGCAATCAGAAAGTAAGAAGATGACACGATTTTGACTTCTTCTTTTGCTTCTTCTCTTCTCTTCTCTTCCTTTCGATGGGTTCTCTTGGTTGGGTTATCTCTCTGCCTCTCTGTTTTTCTTCCTTTATTTTTCTTCTCTTATTCTTTTCTTCTTCTCTTCTTCAATGGGTTCTCTTCATGGGTCTGTCTCTGTTTTTTCTTTACTTATTTTTCTTCTCTTCTTCTTTTCTTATTTTATTCTTCTCTTCTTTTTTTTCTTCTCTTGCTCCTTCGCTAGGTTATCTCTCTGTTTTTTCTTCTTTGTTATGCTTGTGAAACTTGCTTTATGATTTTTGGAATTCTATATATATTTGTTACGTTGAAAAGTTTGCCTATTTTATAATTTTGCTTTTCTTCTACTACTTGCGCCTCGCGCTTAGGCTATAGGAGACCTTATCGCCTCGGTGCGTCTAGAGCCTTTAAAACACTGTGATATCCTATTAAAATTGTGGTGGTTTACTGTGTTCCTATCTAAATGGTGTCTAGGGATGTATGGATAAGGGTTTGGGTTTGGGTTTGGGAGAGAAGGGTTTGAGGATAGTAAGATAATTTTGGTTTTTGGTATGAGAGGGTAGTTATGCTGTTTTGATTTTGTGTTAACCCTGTTAAAAGGGTATTTGTAATTTTTCAAACCGAAAGGGGCAGTTTGTGTTTTTGTTAAACCTTAAGGGGTGTGTTTGTAATTTACCCAAAAGAGAAAGACACAACAAAATTCAAGGAGGACCAGAGGTCTTCCAAAAAGAGAAAATAAATAAATAAATAAATTACATACAACTCTCAAATCCCTAAATATAAAAAACAGAGGAACCCTTTAAGAAGAGTTGTCACTTAAGCCTAAAAAGGAAGACAAATAACATATCTCATCCTATAACCTTTTAGCATCTTCAAATTTATCTTAAAATATTTTTGCATTTTTCTCCAGTCAAATTACCCAAAGCACAACTACCAATTGCATAACCCTAAAGAACTCAGGCTCTCTTGTTTGAGCCCAAACCATTATAATCAATGAAAAGAATCCAAGCACAGGAAGCTAATATCAAGTTATCCTCTGCCAACCTACCATACTGCCACAGCTATATGGCAATGTAAAATCAGATGATCAATCCTCTCCTCATTCATCTTAATGCCATAATGCTAATTGCTAAGAGATCCATTTGAAGAACATGGTGACTGTTGGAATTTAATGTATTGGAATTTAATGTATAAAGAGAATTGTATTATTGATTGATATATTTTGTTTTTATTACAATGATTCATGATTCCTATATATAGAAGAGGGTGAGTGTGTAGTAGGTAAGGAGTAGGTGAAGTGGAGGTGGTAGTGGTGTAGTGGGTTAGGTTTAGTAGAGTAGGTTTAAGTGGGTGAAGCCAAGAGTCAAGACAAAGAGATAAACCAAAATTTTCCCTCTCTTTGGCATTTCTTCTTTTAGATTGATACATCTGTCCACTTCAATGTGTCATACAATGTTGATTAGAATTTTTAGATTGTCTTTTTTATTCTTAAAATTTTATAATAGCAACATGATGATAATCAAACTTTACCTTTTTAAGTCTTGAAATTTATTCAAATAAAATCTTATTATCAAAAAAAAAATTATAGCATTCCGCTGTCTAAAAAATATTCAGAAGTTACTGTAGTTTATTATTATTTTTTTAAAAAATGTTTGGTTTGTATGATAGGAGTGCGAGTTCATTATTTATTTATTTTTGATGGTGTGTTGTTTAAGACAACTTTATTGAATGCACAAATTCCATTTGATTGACTACATAATATCAAAGGCAAACTCTTATTATTTGTCCATTTCAGTTCCATTTGAATATCAATACTAATTCCATCCTTGATCATCATGTTCAAATCCTTTCAGGTTATATCCATATCTATTTATCTAAAATGAGCTACTTGATTGATATCTTAGAATTGAGTTTGTATTTTGTAATATTGTTAATATATAATTGGACAGGATTTTTTCTCCTCCTTCGTGGATTCACACAGCAAGCATCATGTGTTCATGTAGGTCCCATCTTCTCCAAAAAAAATGGTGGTCTCATTATTTTCAGAATATAGTGAGTCCTACATGTGCACATGGTGTTTGATTCTGTGCATTGACTTGGTTCTGCTCTTGGGTTCAATGCCTGTTTGTTACTGACTATATTGTAAGATCAAATTTTTTTTTTTTCCCTGTGAAATATGGCGTAAAATTGGAGTAATGAAGGCATACAATTTGCATACTGGCGTCATACTTGTCATTGATCATCCCTTTTTCTTGACATATATGTTCTTAGGATAAATATTTTTTTGCATCTACGAGGATATGGCAAAGGGTCACAATTAAATAAAGATCTTTAAATAAAAAAAATTGAGAAAATATTTCCTTGTTAATTAAGCCGAGTTACTAGCTTTGAGTGTAGTGAGTACTTGCTGGGCTTAGCTTGAATAAAGGTTGCCTAGCTTAAGCCAAGCATAAGACACTGTTCTGCCGAGCTGGGCTTTACATACTCGTACTTGCTAAGCTCAGTGATTCTTTAGCCCAAACAATTAGTTTTTTCTAATAATTGGTTTACCTTGATAAATGATCACTGCTTTAATATGCCTGCATCAGTGTATTGTCTAGTAGTGGTAGTACTTAATTTACCACAATGTGTGACATTGTTTTGCACTCTTTACAATGTTTAAAGGCTTCATAGTTAAAGTCCAAAGTATGTCTTGTATTTTGTGATATGAAATAATGCCTAAGAATGGAAATGTGGAGAGTATCTATTTTTATGACTCCGCTCCAAAAACAAATAATGTTTTCTTGAAATATGTATAATCTGCTGTGCCAATCTTTGGATCCAAAACAGTTACCTTGTAGATTTGTAGTCAAAGCTGATGTTTTCCTGCAACAATTGTGTGACAAATCTTTAGAAGTGTATGGAATTAGTTAATGGTATGTTCTTTTGGAACCACAGGTCATCTTTCCAGCTCTTGATATACGTGTGAAGAATGTGGCACAAACTTACTCCCTTGAGCATGAGGGAGAAAGTGTTCTTTTTGATCAGTTGTTTGCGCTCCTGAATTCAAATATGCAAAATGAAGAAAGCTATAGGAGAGAACTAGCCTGTTGTACCGGAGCTCTTCAAACATCTATTAGTCAGCACATGTCCAAGGAAGAGGAACAGGTAATCTTTCGTTTCATCCTGTGATGATCGTCTTCCATTTTGTTTGTGATAGTATTAACTCATGCTTGGCATCTTTGATGCTTAACATATCAAATATCATTTTGTTGCAAGTGTAAGTATAATACAGTGGGAATTGTGCTAGAATTAGTTCTTCTATACATCCACTAGCAAACATTTTTCACAGTTTTGCTATGGTGTATTTGAGAAGTCTAATGATATTTCAGTAAATTAATTTTGTGGTTGTCTAGTTCATTCTGGTTTTCTTAACTAACAGAGAATTGCTATGGTGTTTTCAACCAATGATAGAGCATCGCTAATAAGGCATGATATTAGTTCCCTTGAAGGGTTTTGGAGAATGCTCTATGAATTTGCATCCAAGGTTGTTAAAATCGGGATCCTAAGTAGGATCGGTGAGAGGGTCTGGTGGATCGGATCGTAGGATCGGATCGAGGATCGTAAGATCCTACTTTCTATTAAAAAAAAAGATAAAAATAAAAATAAAAATGATACATATTAAAAATAAGGTGAAAAATCATAAAATCTACGATCCTACTTGCGATCCTACCTACGATCCTATACGATCCCATACGATCCTACACGATCCCATGCAATCCTACACGATCCTACTTGCGACCCTGTTATAACATCGATCCTACAATGATCTGGATCGTTTTGGCAAAGTAGGATCGTAGGATCGTACGATCCGGATTGCGATTTTAATAATCATGTTTGCATCATTATTTGATTGAAGGTGACTCCACCAACCCCATGTTTGTGGTGGGTTATGTCAATGGATGAAATCTCACTCCTTGGTTGGTAGGGTATTCATATAATGGGAGAGAGAACTGATTTTTCTATGCTCTATGAGAGTTGGATTCTGTATTCAGCTAACAAAAGAGCTGCTTTTTTGGCTAAATGAGTGACTACTGTATCAACTCTTAGGTGCCGTTATTTTATAATTTATTGTCATTTTTGGTAAGAACAAGGGGTCATTATTTTTGTTCCCAAGGTTCTGTCGAAGGTTGGTTGGTTGTGCTACTTGGGTTTAGGTCCACAAAGCCTTCTGTAACTAGACGTATTTTGTAGCTATCCTCCTTAGTAATGTTTAGAATGATTCTTCATTGTTCTTATCTTTCCAAACTCCTCTTTGTTACCTAATTATATTCGTTTTGGTTTCTTACTGAAAGCATAAGACTAAATTAAATATTGGAGGAAGTGAACAGATTCCTATGTGACTTAGAAAATGAAAAAGTTTCCTACATAATGCTGTGCTGGAAACTTCTACAGGGATGTTTCATCTTCAATATTATGAATTTATCTATGAATATGGATCACACTGAATATTATGTGCTTATTCGTCCATGTTAAATGAATTGTTCTCTGTTGACAATTCACTTAAACAAAATGGGGCATCATATATTCGAAGGTAAAAACATAATCAAAACATTTTAAGGCTTTTGGCCGAATTGGTGCTTGTGCAGGGTAGTTGTTGAGTTACTGACATCCAACAACCAAACCAAGAAAAAAGTGGAAATGAATGGATTAAATAGAATAAAGCACATTATAGGCATGGACTATACTATAATCATGTATCTTGTAGTATTTTATTTTTATTTTTTTTATCATTGGCACATAGTTCAAAATTCCCAATTAAGTGAATAATTTTGGATTTGGCAGGTCTTCCCTCTGCTTATTGAGAAGTTTTCATTTGAAGAGCAGGCATCATTAGTATGGCAGTTTCTGTGCAGCATTCCTGTAAGTATGATGGCAGAGTTCCTCCCATGGCTTTCTTCTTCTATTTCATCTGATGAATGCCAGGATATGCGCAAGTGCTTGAGCAAAATAATCCCAGCAGAGAAGCTTCTTCAACAGGTGAGGGTCTTTCTAATGTCACCATGTGCTTCGAAAGTCTTTGTCAAATATTATTTTGTCTGATGTTATTTTCTCTGTATTTAAGGTTATATTCACCTGGATGGATGGGGTGAAAACTAATGACAAACATAAGAGTTGTGAAGGTTCCAAGGACCAAAGTTCTCCAGACTCTGATGCTATCACCTTAAATAGTTCAGCAATGAAAGCACATTGTGCCTGTGAATCTTCCAGGACTGGTAAAAGAAAATGTGTGGAGCCAAATTGCAATCTTGAGGAGTCCACTCTGTCTCGTCCAGTAGATGAAATATTGCATTGGCATAAGGCTATAAAAAGAGAATTGAATGATATAGCTGAAGCAGCCAGGAGGATACAATTGGCTGGAGATTTTTCTGATTTATCTGCATTCAATAAGAGGCTGCAATTTATTGCAGAAGTTTGTATCTTTCACAGGTATGGTTTATGTTAATATTTTCCCATTTGATGTTCCTTTTTCAGCATCAATAATTTTTGTTTTTTAAATACAATGATTACCATGCTTACATATTGCATTAGTTGGAATATGCGCGGCTTTCTCATATAGGAATTGATATCCTTATTGAAGCCTGTGCCCTAATATATGAAGAATGGCCTGCCTTTTTTATTTTTATTTTTTGGTCTGTGAAGAATGATCTGCTTCATGAAGACCAAAAGTTGGATATTTTAATCCCATCCTCCTTTTTGAAACCGTCACGATTTTGTTTTTGGCATTTGTTTTGTCCATGAAACAGCAAGGACTAGCAATTGTAAAAAAAATGCATGAAATCACAATGGCATTGGCTCCCTTATGTGCCCTTGCATTTTTTGTAACAAGTTTCTCTTTTCACTGGGACTGCAGTGTCGCTGAGGACAAAGTTATATTTCCTGCTTTAGATGCAGAACTCTGCTTTGCCCAGGAGCATGCAGAAGAAGAAAGTCAATTTGACAAGTTTAGATGTTTGATAGAAAGTATTGAAAGTGCTGGAGCCAACTCATCTTCTGCCGAATTTTATTCCAAGCTGTGCTCACATGCTGATCACATAATGGACACCATACAGAAGCACTTCCATAATGAGGAAGTTCAGGTGAGGATGTTATTTATGCGATATGCAATTAGTTTCTCTGTTACATGGACTCGCTGGTTTAGGGCAGAGTACCTATCTCGACACGACACGACACGACACGGGTGCGGGTGTGAGATATGTGTCAGATTCGGCATGGGTTTCTCGGACATGGCTGACATGAGAGGAGAAAGAAGAAGGGTTGTTGAGAGAAACTTACAGTGGACTAGTGGTAGCAGGAGGGAGAAGATCTATGTCGATTTGTGTCGTCTCGTCTTCGTCTTCATCTGTGTCAATCTCCTCTTCTCTCTCTCTCTTCTCTTCTTTATCATCTCCTCGCCGTTTTCTTCTTCGTCTTCCTCTTCATCTCCCTCTTCCTCTTCTCTCTCTCTCTCTCTCTCTTGTCGATTTGTGTTCTCTATCTCTCTCCCTCCCGTTTTGAACATATAATAAATATAATAAATAATATAATTTGTTATATAATAATAAATCTAATTAAATCATATATAATATAAAAAAATCTAATAAAATCTATAAAATAAATCATTCAGTTTTTATTTTTTATTTATTTTAACATATTTTATTATTCCTTATTTGTTATATTTTTTTATTTATAATAAATATATATCAATTAAAAATAAAAAGATAAATTACATAAATAAATTAAAAATATTATCAATAAAAATAATACATAAGATAAAAATAATAAATATATTTAGAAATAACGATTTAACTCATCTTTATATAATAAATATATTTAAAAAATAACTATTTAGCATATCCCCGTACCCGTATCCAAATTTGGATCCATATCCACGTATCTTCAATTTTTACTTTTGAAGTATCTAACCCCTAGATACGTATTTGCACCCAATGCCCACACCCGAGTCCGTGTAATATAGATTAGTTTTACAATCTTTCCTAAAAAGTTAGTGTAAGAGTTGAGTGATTGCTAGATGGCATATGGAAGCAAGCTCAGCTTGCATAGGGGCAGGGAGATGTGCATTTTCTGTTTTCGTCAGTTCCTTGAATCTAATCTGTGTGAAATGCTGCCTCAGTTTGTCATTGTTTTTGGGGTACAACAACAATTTGAAACTTGCAGTTAAGCACCACTTGCTGTCCTTAAAAGACATCTTACATTTGTAGGTTCTTCCACTAGCGCGAAAGCATTTTAGCCCCAAACGCCAGCGGGAACTTCTGTACCAAAGCTTATGTGTGATGCCATTGAGGCTGATAGAGTGTGTCTTACCCTGGTTGGTTGGATCACTTAGTGAAGAAGAAGCAAGGTCTTTCCTTCACAATATGCAGATGGCAGGTTTGATTTATTTCCTTCTTCTGCTTCTGTTAAATCTATTATCGCTTATTGACAATAGGTAATAGGTAGGTCAACAGGTGTGTGATCCTTTTGCTCATTTCTAACCATGCATGGTATCTGATGCAGCTCCAGCATCGGACACTGCACTGGTTACACTTTTTTCAGGTTGGGCATGCAAAGGTCGTCCAACAGATGTTTGTTTGTCTTCCAGTGCAATTGGTTGTTGTCCTGCAAAAGTTCTAACTGAAACCAAAGAAAATTTTCATAAACCATCTCGTCCTTGCACCTTGTCCACTGAGGAAAATCTTGCATTTGTTGTGCCAGATGATCACAGAAGGCCATTCAAGCGTGGGAATTCAATGTCATGGGAAGAAAGTGATGCTTGTAATCCTTCTGGAACTGCAAATATGCAAATATTATCTTGTGGTAATCAGTCATGTTGTGTTCCTGGGTTAGGAGTGAATACCAATAATCTGGGAATGAGTTCCCTTGCTGCTGCAAAATCTTTGCGTTCCTTGTCATTTGGTCCTTCTGCTCCTTCCCTTAACTCCAGTCTTTTCAACTGGGAAACTGATATAAGCCTGACTCACAGTGGCTATGCAACTCGACCCATTGATAACATATTTAAATTTCATAAAGCTATCCGCAAAGATTTGGAGTATCTGGATGTTGAATCTGGAAAACTTCGTGATTGTGATGAAACTTTATTCAGGCAGTTTAGTGGTAGATTTCGCTTGTTATGGGGCTTATATAGGGCTCATAGTAATGCAGAGGATGACATAGTGTTCCCAGCATTAGAATCAAAAGAAACTCTTCATAATGTTAGCCACTCTTACACTTTAGACCATAAGCAAGAAGAAGAACTATTTGAAGATATTTCGTCTGCACTTTCTGAGCTTGCTCAGCTTCATGAAAAATTGAAGCATGCAAATTTGAGTGGAGATTCAAGTAGAGAGAACTTTGGTTCTTATGACGGTAATGAGTGTTTGGGAAAATACAATGAGCTTGCCACAAAGGTTCAAGGCATGTGCAAATCCATAAGAGTCACGTTGGATCAGCATGTTTTCCGTGAAGAACTTGAACTCTGGCCTTTATTTGATAGACATTTTTCTGTGGAGGAGCAGGACAAAATTGTTGGTCATATAATTGGTACCACTGGTGCAGAGGTGCTACAGTCAATGTTGCCCTGGGTAACATCTGCTCTTACTCAGGAGGAGCAGAATAAAATGATGGACACCTGGAAGCAGGCTACCAAAAACACAATGTTCAGTGAGTGGCTCAAGGAATGGTGGGAAGGAACTTCATCTGCATCTTCACAGATTGCAACATCAGAGAATAGTATATCACAAGGTTTGTGCCATGCTTTTGTTAGTACTGTTGATTGTGTACTTTTTCTGCTGACCTCTATTCTTTATGGAAAACTGTTGCTTCTTACTTCTCAAGTTGTGAAATTTGAAATTTCACGTTGCAGATCATTTTCTCATGTCTTAAATTACGTGTTTTAGGCACTGATGTCCATGAAGCCCTGGACCAAAGTGATAGTACTTTCAAGCCTGGCTGGAAAGATATTTTCTGGATGAATCAAAACGAGCTTGAATCAGAGATAAGAAAGGTTTCCCGGGACTCAACTCTTGATCCAAGAAGAAAAGCATACCTAATTCAAAATCTTATGACCAGGTTTGCCGGTGTTATAACCGTCTTCATAGATTTTCTGCTACTATTTTCATGATAGCACATCCTACTCACTCCAAATTATTCACTGTTTTTGATAGTCGCTGGATTGCTGCTCAGCAGAAGTTAACTCAAGTAGGAATAGGTGAAGCTTCGAATGATGAAGATCTACTTGGATGCTCTCCATCTTTTCGTGATCCAGAGAAATGTGTGTTTGGGTGTGAGCACTACAAAAGAAACTGCAAACTTCGTGCTGCTTGCTGTGGCAAGTTATTTACTTGCAGGTTTTGCCATGACAAAGTCAGTGACCATTCAATGGACAGGTAACATTTTCTGTTCGTCATGCTTTATTTATTTATTTATTTTGAAGTTTTACATATGATATTATGCCAATTTATTTGCAGGAAGGCTACATCTGAAATGATGTGTATGCGCTGCCTGAAAATTCAGGCTGTTGGGCCAATTTGTACAACACCTTCTTGCAATGAACTCTTGATGGCAAAATACTATTGCAGTATCTGCAAATTTTTCGATGATGAAAGGTGATACAGCATGGATTAGAACATCTCTTTTCCCTACCTACCATCTATGAATACAGAATGTTTTACTGCTATAAATTTTTGCTAGAACCCTGAAGTTCATTAAAAAATCTGCAGATGAAATTACTTGTGTTAATTTGAATTTTGTTAGGTATGTACCCAATCTTCCCCTCGCAGACCCCAATCCAATGAGGACTAAATTGGGAGTACTCTTAGGGCTATGAAGCACGGACACGGACACGGGACATGGCAATTTTCAAAAAATGGGGACACGGACACGGCAGGGGACATGTCAAATTTTTTTTTTATAAATATTTTTATTTTAATATACGTTAATTATTTTATTTATTTATTATATTTTTTAAATAATGTGTTTCTGATAATTTTTTATTTTATTTTATATACGTGTTTTTTTATTAATATGTATAAATAGTATATAATATGTTATATCTACTTATAAAATAATATTATCTTATTAATATTGTCTTATATATACTAATACACACGCACACGCGCGCACACACACACACACATATATATATATATATAAAAGATAAGAAAGAAGGCGAGAGGGATAAAGTTGGCGAGAGGGCGCGAGCAAGAGAGAGAAGACGAGAGACGCGAGCGAGAAAGAGAGAAGACAATGCGAGAGAGAGAGAGGAAGAAGACGATGCAAGCGAGAGAGAAGCCTAGAGAGAGAGTGATGCTTATGGTGGAGGTCGTGAAGTCGAAGGGATACAGATCGTTGACGACTGGTTGTCGATGTAGTGACTGGATGTTTGATCGATCAACTAGATGTCTTTGATCGCACGACAGGTTTGTCTCTTCACTCTCTTCCTTTACACTCTCTCTCCTGTGTCTCTGTCTCCTCGACATGTCTCATGCCGTGTCCAGATTTGGACACGCGTGTCCCAAGCATGTCTCCTACAAAGAAAAAAAACAATTAAATTAAAAGGGACACGGCAGATGGCGTGTCCCGGTGTGTCCCCGTGTCCGACACCGCCACGGTGCTGATTTTGCCGTGTCCATGCTTCATAGTCTTAGGGTTTGTTTGATTGGGCTGATTATATCATAGGATTAAGATTATTAATCCACGGGACTCACATTCCATTATTTGGTTGCAATGTAATTGTGATTATAAATTTTCATATCTATTGCAAAACAAACGTGGACCAGAAGGGATTATATATCTCACTAATCCAGTTGGATAATCAATCCTACATTAATCTCATGGATTGTTAATCCTCTCACTATTAATCCTACTAATCAAACAAGCCCTTAGTGTATTAATGCTTTGCTTGTGATATCTGGATATATTGGACCTACAAACTGCTATAAATAAATAAATGGCTAATCGAGGGTGTTAAAATTGATGTATTATTGATTGATGTTTGTAATTGTTGATTCATATCTATTACAATGATTCATGATTCCTATATATAGAAGAGGGTGAGTGTGTAGTAGGTAAGGAGTAGGTGAAGTGGAGGTGGTGGTGGTGTAGTGGGTTAGGTTTAGTGGAGTAGGTGAGATTGTGATTATAAATTTTCATATCTATTGCAAAACAAACGTGGACCAGAAGGGATTATATATCTCACTAATCCAGTTGGATAATCAATCCTACATTAATCTCATGGATTGTTAATCCTCTCACTATTAATCCTACTAATCAAACAAGCCCTTAGTGTATTAATGCTTTGCTTGTGATATCTGGATATATTGGACCTACAAACTGCTATAAATAAATAAATGGCTAATCGAGGGACATAACAATTCCAAGTTCTATAAGGATGTAAATGGGAAAGGATTAAGAAGTTTATCAAAAGGTTAGAGGTTGGATCTGGGTTGTCCGTGAAAAGGGAAGGCCTAATTATAAATAAAATTTTTTATTTTATTTTATTCAAGGTTGCATTTATCAGGTGGGGTAAATATGTGAGGAATTGAAGGTTCGTATTTGTCTCCAATCGATTCTAGCAAGTCTTGTTGCTTGGAAATTTTTTTGATAGATTGGAAATAGAGCAACAGTTTTTGAATGCGAAGGGGACAAGTCCCTGGGCCTTGATGGCCTGTTGGCTTTTCCATGGTGGTTTTTCAAAATTGTTGGATTATTTTTAAGCAAGATATGAATAGAGTTTTTTATGATTTTTATTTTTATTTTTATTTTTTTATTTATAGAATGAAACTGTTTATACTTGTACTAATGAGTTTTTCATTTGTTTGCTTCCCAAGAAGGGAGAGCTCTCTAAAGATCAGTGATTTTCGACCAATCAATCTAGTCACTTCTTTGTGTAAAACTTTGGTGAAAGTTTTGTCTAGGAGGTTGATTGAGGTTTTGGGGGATACCATCTCTTATTCTTAGGGTGCCTTTGTTGAGGGATTTCAAATTTTGGATATTGCTTTGATATCAACTAAGGTGGTGGAGAATTACTAGAGTACAAACAAGGAAGGTATTTTCTTTAAAAAAAGATTTTGAAAAAGGATATGATCATGTTGAGTGGGAATTTTCGGGCTTTAATATGCTAAAGAAAATATTTGGTGATTGATGGGGAAAATTGATTCGGGGTTTATTTATCCTGTTGCAATTGATTGGTAATAGTTAGACGGGCAATAGTTTTAAGGCCAGTAAAGGTCTTAGGCTGGGGTATCCTTTATTCTCCTTCCTATTTACCTTAGTGGTTGATGTTCTATCTAGGACGAGTGTTAGGGCTAAGGAGGTAGGATTAGTGGATGAATTTGTGATTGGGAGGGATAGTTTCTGCGTGTCTCACTTACAGTTTGTTAATGATACCATTTCCTTATCCTATTGTGAGGAGTCTAAAGTAGTTAATCTGCCTTTTGTTCTGAGAATTTTTTAAATGTATTTTGGGCTTAAGGTTAGTATGAATAAGAGAGTTGGAATTAATTTTTTGTGGGATAGATTGCATAGAATGGGAGGACTTTAGGATGTGCCATCGAGTCTTTGCCATCAAATATTTTGAGCTTCCTTCAAGAGGAAATCCTAGGTTTGAAACTTTTTTGGGATCCATTCATTGGGAAGATTGATAAGAGATTAAAAAAATGGAAGGGGGTATTGATATCTAAAGGGGGCAGATTTACCTTAGTTTAGTTTGTTTTGTCAAGTGTTCCATTTACTATTTATATTTGTTTATAATTCGAGTAAAAAATGATTATGAATTTCTTGTGGAAAGGTAGTGATGAGAGAAATAATGACCATTAGATTAGTTGGATGTGGTTTCTCTTCCAAAGAATAAGGGGTTTTGTTGTGTTGTGTCGTGTGTAATAATATAGCCAAGAACATTGCTTTGCTTGTGTTTTTGAGATTTTTGATTAAAGTGAGTCTATGGCATTCTTTTATTCAGAGTAAGTATGAGATTTTGGCTAATGGGTGAGATTCTCGTTTGGTCAATTGGGGGATTCTCTATCTCCATGGAAATTCATTTCTCAAGGACTCTTCTTTTTTCCTTTTTCTTTTTTGATTGGTGTACTCATTTTCTTGTGGGAAATGGGAAAATGTTTGTTGTGGGAGGATGCATGGAAGGGGGAGGTTTCTTTTGAAATTTTATTTTTTCATTCGTATTGTTTGTCTCTATCTCTAACTCATAATGTCTCTATTGCATCTATGGATTTTTCTTTATTTTCTCTGATTTCTTGGAATTTAATTTTTTTCAGACATTTTAATGAGTGGGGGAGGCCAATGAGATGAATTCTATGTTATCTATCCTTGATGGCGTTTCTTTGATACATGAAGAGCTTGATTAAAACAAATTTGGTCTATTCATTCATTGGGATTATTCTCTTTCAAGTCTTTCTTTGATAAGATTATTGATGATCCTAATGTTTCAATATTTGACCCTCATAAAGTGATTTGGAGTGTATGCATTCCTCTTAAGTGTTTGCATGGCTAAGTCACTAGTTCCTCGTGTGGGTGTGGGAGCGGGAGCGGGAGCGAAAGTGTGAGAGTTTCAATTTTCAAAACTTTTAATATTGAGAGTGGCACGAGAGTGTTTGTATTATATATATTTTGATATGATTAAATATTTATTATTAAATATCTTATACTTTAATATAATCAATTCTTTGTATTATTAAGTATTGATAGCTCTATGTTTATGCATTGTATGATTTTTATACTATACAGTTATCATATATAATGTTTAGTTTGACTAACCAACTAAATGAAAAAGTTGGCACAGTGGAGTTTTGACTTGGGAAAGAGAAGATTCCCTCCTGTTAGATTGCACGTTCAATCCTTGTGGTTTACAATTTTAGCATGCACTTATAAATTTTTATGTCGGATCGTAAGTTGGATTGTTGGGTTTGTGATTTTTCACATTAATCTTAGGCGGTGTTTGGGAACAAATTTTTTAGTTTCTTTTTTGTTTTTTTTCACTAAAAGACAAATTGGTTACAAAACCAAAAAAAACAAATCCAAACAAAATATCACATCAAACCCCATAATCATTTTACTTTTTCTCTCACAAACATTACATACAATCACAAAAAAATCCAACTATCTTCCCAAACTCAAAAAAAATTCTCCAATAATATCCTACAACTAAAAAAACCCACTTCCCAAACACCCACTTAATATGCAGTATCCTTATTTGCATTTTTATTTTATTTTTAATAGAAAGTAGGGTTCATGATATGATCCATGAGGTCCTCTCACCAATCCTACGTAGGATCCCTATATTAACAACCATGGTTGTGTTCTATTGCATGTGCAGCGGTGTCAGTAGTGCAGGTAACTGTTATCTCATCAATTGATTGGCTGAAATAAGAAAAAAGAATCACTGTGAATCTGCCCCCTCAGACAATGAATTCACAGATCATAATTAGAGAATTCACGAATTTGACTCTCCAATTCATGAATTTAAAGTGCGTATGTCACCCTCTATGCACACAATAAGCTCAATACCAATGATATGATTCAGAAAAGGAGGCCTAATTGGCATTTACTTCCACAATGGTGCATTATGTGTAAGGGAGGAATGAGGATTAATCATTTATTTTTGTATTGTCCAGTGGTTTTAGCCTTATGCACAAGATGTTTCAGTTGGTGGATGTTTCAGATGCTTTTGATTGATTATGGGGGCTTTGGCCGTAATAAGAAGGCTTGGGTCCTTTGGAGTTGTGTGCTTTTTGTATGTTTTTGGGTAATTTGGTTGGAAATGAATGCAAAATTTTTTTGAGGATAAATTTAAAGAATTGGGAGAGTGGTGATTGATTAGATGCTTGTGTGTCTAGCTTTTGTCACCATGTCAAATGAGGATCTTGATAACCGGAATCAATGTCGGGACAGTTTACAGAGTCTTGTCGGACCCTTAAAAAGTCGCACCCTCAAAAGGTGTGCCCAATTTTTAAAAAAGGCGTGCCCACTTTATCAAAAGATGTGCCATGAAAAGGCGTGCTAGTTTGTCGGGCGTCAAGAGGCGCGCGATGCGCGTGGCTGCCTCGGCTATAAGACGGAGGTTGAGGCTGAGGCAAAAAAACCTGCGAAATCCTCTGAAAAATTCTGCCGTGTCTGAGAGAGAGACTCTGTAACACTCTGTTTTCTGAGAGAGATTGCTGAGAGAGATACTGTGTAACACTTTGTAGCCCAGAAAAATGGCTTCGTCCTCCCGCGGGCTGCTCACCCTCTTTCCCGACCTCAACGAGTCAACGAGAGAGAGAACTGGTGCGGTGGCACTGGAAACTCAACCAAGCGCCCCGGAGTTTACTCCG